TCAGGCTGATCTCCAACTCCCGACCTCAGGGGATCCACCCACCTCAGCCTCCCAAAGGGCTGGGATTACAGGCGTGAGCCAGCTCTCCTGGCCTCTGTTGTGGAATTCTAAATGACTAAGAATAAGACATTTAAAATCCATTCTAAAAAAATAAATGCCACAAGGGAGGTTATGGAAAATGGTGGAGTCAGAAGCTCCATGGGTCGGTCCCTCCACCAATACAATCAGGAAGCTGAAAAAATGATCAAAATCACGATTTCAGGACTCTGGAAGCAGATCAGACACTCACAGCAATCAAGAGAGTGCTGGATGAAGGGAGGCTGCTGAAGCTCAGGAGAGATCAGTGTGCATAAATCCCCATTCCGCAGCCCTGCCACACGCAGCCTGCAGGAAGGTGGCCTGTGTTCCCACAGCAGCTGGCTCATACAAGGAGTGGGGGGGTGGAGGAAGGACCTTGTCCTCCAAAAATGTGCAGTTGTGCATTTCGTCCAGTCTGGCAAACTCGCTCAGCTTTGTTTTGGCCCCCTCAGGCTGCAGTAGTTTCCCTGGTGGCACCTATCACAAGATTTAAGACACCTACACCTACATCTGTACATTCACATACACAGATCCAGACAGTTAAGAAAATCTTCCAGGTCACAGGCTGGCTGCATGGATAAGAGAAAAAAAAACTCGAGCAACTACATACAACAAGGAATAGAGACTTCACAAAATAGGAAAAGTCATTGTACAAATAGATAACTGTAACCTCACCAAGTCACAAAAGCAATCCCTGAGGCGGCATAGAATCTGATTTCCAGAGTTACCACAATATCATACTCCAAATGTCCAGTTCTCAACAAGAAAGTAAAAACATACACACAAAAAGGAATATACAGTGCACTCACAGGAAAAAGAATCAGAAACACTGTCACTGAGGAAACACCAACACTAGAATCACATGTCGCAGAGGTTAAATCCACTGTTTTAAATATGCTCAAAGAACAAAAGAAAATGATGAATAAGGAAAATCAGGATAACAATGTCAATAAGGAGACAGAAACCATAAAAAGGGGCCAGGAGGCCAGGCACGGTGGCTCACGCCTATAATTCCAGAACTCTGGGAGGCTGAGGCGGGCGGATCATGAGGTCAGGAGATGGAGACCATCCTGGCTAACACGGTGAAACCCCGTCTCTACTAAAAAAATATAAAAAATTAGCCGGGCATGGTGGTGGGCAACTGTAGTCCCAGCCTAACTCGGTGAGGCCCCGCCACGGACGCAACCCCGCCTGAACCCTGGAGGTGAGCTGCAGTGAGGCGAAGAACATGCCACCTGCACTCCAGCCTAGGCGACAAAGCGTGACTCCATCTCAAAAAAAAGAAGGGGGGGGCGGCGCCAGGAGTGGAGTGTGGGCTCACGCCGTTAATCCCAGCCACTTTGAGAAGGTCAAGGTTGGCAGATCACTTGGGTCAGAAGTTCAAGACCAGCTGGCCAACATGGTGAAACCTCCATCTCTACTAAAAAAAATAAAAATTGGCCGGGGCAGTGGGCCGGGTGTGGTGGCTCACGCCTGCATCCCAGCACTTTGGGAGGCCAAGATGGGCGGATCACCTGGAGGTCAGGAGTTCCAGACCAGCCTTCAACAAAATACAAAAATAAGCTGGGCCGTGGTGGCGGGCGCCTGTAATCCCAGCTACTCGGGAGGCGAGGCAAGAGAAACTGCTTGAACCTGGGAGGTTGAGGTTGCAATGAGCCAAGACCGTCTCTGCACTCCAGCCTGGGTGACAAGAGCAAACTTCGTCCTCAAAAAAAAAAAAAAAAAAAAAAAGCAACAAAAAACACTGGCCAGGCATTGTGGCATGAGCCTGTAGTCCCAGCTACTCAGGAGGCTGAGGCATGAGTATCGCTTGAACCTGGGAGGTGGAGGTTACAGTGAGCCAAGATCACGCCACTGCACTTCAGCCTGAGCGACAGAGTGATGCTCCGTCTCAAAAAAAAAAAAAAAAGAAAAGAAGTAAAGAAATTATAAAAGGTACAACAATGCATTATGGGCTGGACTGCATTTCCCCGCTGCCTGTCAGTTCACACACTGAAGCTGTAATGCCCTGCACCTCAGAGTCTGGCTATATTTACAAGTAGAGCCTTTAGGAGGTGATTAACCTAAATGAGGCCATTTAGATGCACCCTAACACAGTATGATGGGTGTCCCAATAAGGTGAGATTTGGACACACAGAGACACTAGGGATGCACAAAGAAAAGACTCTGTATGGGCCCAGTGAGAAGGAGGTCATCCGCAAGCTGAGGAAGAGGGCCACAGAAGAACCCAAACCTGCTAACATCTTGATTGCAGACTGCCCACTTCCAGAACTGTGAGAAAATACATTTCCATTGCTTAAGCCACCCAGCCTGTAGTATTTTGTTACAGTAGTCCTGGCAAACTAATACAAGCTGAAATTACAAGTTCATAAGAGGGGGTTCAACGGCATGCTTGAGCAGGCAGAAGGAAAAAAAAAATTAACAAACTCAAAGATAAGGTAAATAAAATTCAGTTGAAGAGTAGAAAGAAAGAAGAATGAAGCAAAATGAGCTGGGCACAGTTACTCATGCCTGTAATCCCAGCACTCTGGGAGGCTGAGGTGGGAGGATCGCTTGAGTCCAGGAGTTCGAGACCAGCCTGGGCAACATAGTGAGAACCTGTCTCGACCAAAAATACAACAGCCAGGCATGGTGGCATGCATCTGTAGTCCCAGCTACACAAGAGGCTGAGGTGGGAGGATCGCTTGAGGACAGGAGGTTGAGGCTGCAGTGAGCCATGTTCATGTCACTATACTCCAGCCTACATGACACAGTGAGACTCTGTCTCAACAACAACAACCACCACCACAACAAAAGAAAAATGAACAGAACCTGAGGTGCCTGTGGGACACCATCATACATATCATGGGAGTTCCAGAAGTAGAGGCACAGAAAAGGGCTGAAAAACAATTGGAAGAAATACATAATGGTCAAACACTTCTAAAAACTGATAAAAGATTTGAATCTACACATCCAAGAAGCTCAACAAACTCTAGGCAGGATAAAATACATTACAGTCAAACTGTAGAAACAGCCAAAGCCAAAGAGAATCTTGAAAGCTGCAAGAGAGAAGCTCCTAGTCAAGTAAAAGAGATCCTCACTAAAATTAACAGCTAATTTTTCATCAGAAACCATAAGCAGAAACCATATGGAGGCCATAGGCAGTAGGACAATCTATTTAAAGCGCTTAAAAAAAAAATCTGTCAATTAAGATCTGGCAAAAATATCTTTTCAAGAATGAAGGAGAAACTAAGACATTCCCGGAGAAACAAAAGCTAAGGATGTTCGCTACCTGTAGTCTTGCTCTACAAGAAATGCTAAAGCGGTCCTTCAGGCTGAGATAAAAGAATGGCTAAACAGAAATTCAAAGCCACATAAAAAAGCTAAGATTGCTGGTAAAGGTTAACTACTCAGGTAAATATATAAGTCACCACTGGTTGGGCTCAGTAGCTCATGCCTATAATCCCACTACTTTCGAAGGCCAAAGCAGGTGGATCATTTGAGTCAGAAGTTGTGATCAACCTGGTCAACACAGTGAAACCCCATTTCTACTAAAAAAAGCAACAATTAGCCAGGTGTGGTGGCACGCACCTGTAATACCAGTTACTCGGGAGGCTGAAGCAGTAGAATCACTCTAACCCAGGAGGTGGAGGTTGCAGTGAGTGGAGATCGCACCACTGCACTCCAGCCTGGGCAACAGAGTGAGAATCTGTCTCAGAAAAAAAAAAAGCCATCATTGTTGTACTTTCGGTTTATAATTCTTTTGTTTATATATTATTTAAAAGGCTAATGAATGCATAAAACAATAATTATAAATCTATGTTAATATACGTATTATACAATGTATAAAAATGTAATCAGTGACAACGACAACATGAAGGTGAAGGGACAGGAGATATACTGTGCTGTGACTGTCTGTACTAAACCTAAGTTGGTATTATTCAAGGTAAGTTGTTAAAAGTTTAAAATGTTAATTGCAAACCCCAAAGTAACTACTAAGAAAATAATGAAAAACATACACAAAAAGAAGAGAATCAAAATGGTTTACTGCCAAACAAACCCAAAACCTCTAAATAATAAAAAATACGATGAGGGCAATCATGGAAGAATTGAGGAATAAGAAACGTGTAAGACATACAGAAAACAAATATCTAAATTGTAAAGTGAATCTTTCCTTGTCAGTAACTGGATTAAAAAACGACTCATCTACGTGCAGTCTACAAGAGACTCACTTTAGCTGCCCAGGTGAGCACGAGACTCACTTTGGATATAATGACACAAAGAGGTTGAAAGTAAAAGGATGAAAGAAAATATTCCATGTAATCGCAACAAAAAAATGGTCTGAGATGGCTATATTATTAGAAATGATCGATTTTAAGTCAAAAAAGGTTACAAGAGACAATTATATGTTGAGTAAAAAGGTTCAATTCTATCAAGAAAATGTAACAATTATAAACATATACACACCTAACAATATAACTCTAAAATACACGAAGTAAAAGTGGATAAAACTGAAGGAAGAAATAGACAGTTCTATAACAATAGGTGGAGACTCCAATACCCCACTTTCAAGAATACATAGAAAAAAGCAGACGGAAGATCTATAAGGAAATAGAAGACTTGAACAACATTATAAACCAGTTAAGCCTACTATTAAGACATATACAGGCATACCTCAGAGATATTGTTGGTTCAGTTCAAGAACACCGCAATAAAGCAAACAGCATAATAAAGTGAGACACACAAATTTTAGTATCCCAGTGCATATAAAACTTACGCTTACACCTTGCTGTAGTCTGTTAAGTGTGCAATAGCATTATGTCTAAAAAAAACAAAGTACTCACCTTAATTTAAAAATACTTTATTGGCTGGGCGTGGTGGCTCACACCTGTAATCCCAGCACTTTGGGAGGCCGAGGCGGGTGGATCACGAGGTCAGGAGATGGAGACCATCCTGGCTAACACGGTGAAACCCCGTCTCTACTAAAAGATACAAAAAAAATTAGCCAGGCGTGGTGGCAGGGGCCTGTAGTCCCAGCTACTAGGGAGGCTGAGGCAGGAGAATGGCGTGAACCCTGGAGGCAGAGGTTGCAGTGAGCCAAGATCGCACCACTGCACTCCAGCCTGGGCGACAGAGCCAGACTCTGTCTCAAAAAAAAAAGAAATTTATTGCTAAAAAATGCTAACAATCATCTGAGCCTTCAGCCAGTTGCAATCCTTTTGCTGGTGGAGAGTCTTACCTTGAGTGGATGGCTGCTGACTGATCAGGGTGGTGACTGCTGAAGGGTAGGGTGGTTGTAGTAATTTCTTTCTTTTTTGTTTCCCAAGATAGGGTCTCGCTCTGTTGCCCAGGATGAAATGCAGTGGTGTGATCATGGCTCACTGCAGCCCTGACCTCCTAGGCTCAAGCAACTCTCCTGCCTCTGCCTCCCAAGGAGCTGGACTACAGGCGTGTGTCACCATGTTCAGCTAATTTATGTATTTTTTGTAGACAGGGTCTCACCATGTTGCCCAGGATGGTCTTGAGCTACTGGGCTCAAGCAATCCGCCTGCCTCAGCCTGCCAAAGTGCTGGAACTGTAAGCATGAGCCACCGTGCCTGGCCTGCCAATTTCTTAAAATAAGACAACAGTGAAATTTGCCACATCAATTGACTGTTTCTCAAAAGATTTCTCTGTAGCATGCAATGCTGTTTGATAACATTTTGCCCACAGAACTTCTTTCACAAAATTTGAGTCAATCTTTTTAAATCCTGCTGATGCTTTATCAATAAAGTTTATATTCCAAATCGGGATGTCCAATTTTTTTGGCTTCTCTGAGTCACAGTGGAAGAACTGGACCGCACATAAAACACACTAACACTAACCATAGCAGATGAGCTTAAAAAAAAAAAAAAAAAAAAAAAACTCGGCCAGGCATGGTGGCTCACACCTGTAATCCCAGCATTTTGGGAGGCCAAAGTGGGTGGAGCACCTGAGGTCAGGGGTTCGAGACCAGCCTGGTCAACATGGTGAAACCCCATCTTTACTAAAAATACAAAAATTAGCTGGGTGTGGTGGTGGACGATTGTAATCGCTTGGGAGGCTGAGATAGGAGAATTGCTTGAACCCGGGAGACGGAGGTTGCAGTGAGCCAAGATCGTGCCATTGCACTCCAGCCTGGGCGACAAGAGAGAAACTCCGTCTCAAAAAAAAAAAAACGAAAACAAAAACAAAAAACCTCATGTTTTAGGAAAGGTTACGAATTTGCGTTGGGTCACATTCAAAGCCGTCCTGGGCCACAGGTTGGAAAAGCTTACTCTAAATCCTTTGTTGTCAATAATGTTCACACCATCTTCACCAGGAGTAGAGTGTATTTCAATAAATCACTTTCTTTGCTCATCCCTAAGGAGCAACTTCTCATCCACTCAAGTTTTATCATGCCTTTGCAATAATTCAGTCCCATCTTCAGGCTCCACTTTTAATTCTATTTCTCTTGCTATTTCTACTACACCTCCAATTAATTCCTCCACTCAAGTCTTGAGCCCCTCAAAGTCATCCACAAGGGCTGGAATCAACTTCTGTTAATGTTGATATTTTGATTTCCTCCCACCAATCACGAATGTTCTTAATGGCATCTAGAAGAGTGACTCCTTTCCAAAACATTTTCTTTTTTTTGTTTGTTTCTCTTTCTTTCTCTCTTTCTCTTTCTTTCAACAGAGTCTTGCTCTGTCGCCCAGGCTGGAGTGCAGTGGCGCAATCCCAGCTCACTGCAACCTCTGCCTCCTGCCTTCAAGCGATTCTCCTGCCTCAGTCTCCTGAGTAGCTGGGATTACAGGCATGTGACACCATGCCATTACACTAATTTTTGTATTTTTTTAGTAGAGACAGGGTTTCACCATGTTGGCTAGGCTGGTCTCAAATTCCTGACCTCAAGTGATTCACCCGCCTTGGCCTCCCAAAGTGCTGGGACTTACAGGTGTGAGCTACCGCGCTGTCTCCAAAACATTTTCAATTTACTTTGCCCAGAGATCCATCAGAGCGTCAGAGGAATCACTATGGTGTGACTGTGGCTCACTGCAGCCTTGACTCTCTGGTTCAGGTGATCCTCCCACCTCTGCCTCCTGGGTAGGTGGGAATACAAGTGCATGACACCATGCTTTGCTAATTTTTTGCATTTTCTGTATTGACAGGGTTTTGCATGCTGTTCAGGTTGGTCTTGGACCCCGAGGCTTAAGCAATCTGCCTGCCTTGGCCTCCCAAAGTGCTAGGATTACAGGTGTAAGCTGCTGCACCTGGCTCAAAATGTATTTCTTAAATAATAAGATTTGAAAATTGAAATTACTCCTTGGTCCAGGGGCTACAGAATGGATGTTGTATTAGCAGGCATGAAAACAATACTAATGTCCTTGTACATCTTCATCAGAGCTCTTGGGTGACCAAGCGCTTCTCAATGAGCAGTAATGTTTTACAAAGAATATTTTTCTGAGCAGTAGGTCTCAACAGTGGGCTTAAAATATTCAGTAAAGCATTCTGTAAACAGGCTGTCTCCAAGCTTTCACTGTGCCATCTAGAGAGCACAAGCAGAGTATACTTAGCATAATTCTTAAGGGCCCTAGGACTTTGGGAATGGTACCTGAGCAGTGGCCTCAACTTAAAGTTACCAGCTGCATTAACCCCTAACAAGAGAATTATAGCCTGTCTTTTGAAGCCAGGTATTGTCTTCTCCTCTCTAGCTCTGGAAGTTATAGATGGCATCTCCTTCCAATAGAAGGCTTTTTCATCTACATTGAAAAATCTGTTGCTTAGTGCAGCCATCTTTACCAATTATCTTAGCTAGATTTTCTAGATAGCTTGCTATAGTTTCTACATCAGCACTTGCTGCTTCACCTTGCACTTTTACTTTATGCAGACACTTCTTTCCTTAAATCTCATAAACCAACCTCTGCTAGCTTCAAACTTTTCTTCTGCAGTTTCCTCACCTCTCTCACAGTCTTCAGAGAAATGAAGAGAATTAGGGTCTTGTTCTGAAGGCTGTGGCTTAAAGGAATGCTGTGGTTGGCATGATCTTCCATCCAGACCACTAAAACTTTCTCCATATCAGCATTAAGGCTGCCGCTTTCTTATCATTCACGAGTTCATTAGAGTAGCATTTTCAATTTCCTTCAAGAACTTTTCCTTTGCATTCACAGTTTGGCTATTTAGAACAAGAAGTCTAACTTTTGGCCTCTGTTTGCTTTTGACATGCCTTCCTCACTAAGCTTAGTCATTTCTAGCTTTTGATTTCAAGTAAGAAGCATATGACTCTTCCTTTCACTTAAACACCAGGTCATTGTAGGTTTATTAATTGGCCTAATTTCAAGATGGTTGTGTCTATGTTCAAGATGGTTGTGTCTCAGGTAACAGGGAGGCCTGAAGAGAAGGGGAAAGATGGGGGAATGGTGGCTCAGTGGAGTAGTCAGAGCACATATTTATTGTCTAAGTTTGTTGTCCCTTATGGGTGTAGTTCACGGTGCCTCAAAACAATTACAATAGTAACATCAAAAAATCACTGATCAAAGATTACCGTAACAGATAAAATAATAATGAAAAGGTTTGAAATATTGCAAGAACTGCCAAAATATGACACAAAAACACAAAGTAAACATGTGCAACAGGAAAAATGATGCTGATAGACTTCCTTAATGCAGGGTTGCCACAGACTATCAATTTGTAAAAAAAAATGCAGTATCTGCGAAGCACAAAACAAGGTATGCCTGTATATGACATGTCAACCACCAAGTGCACACAGGACATTCTCCAGGATAGATCATGTGTTGGACCATAAAACAAGTCTCAATACACTTAAAAAGACTGAGTCTTTTTAAAAATACAAAGTATTTTTCTAACCACAATGAAATGAAAGTGGCAATCAGTAAGAGAGAAAACTGAAAAACTAATAAATATGTGGAAATTAAACAATACCCTTAAAGACCTATCACTATTAAGGGCATTGACTCTCTCAATAAAGAGATCCTAACCTGATGGCTTCACTATTAAATTCTAACAACATTTAAAGAAGAACTGACACCAAACCTTCTCAAACTTTTCTAAAACACTGAAGAGGAGGGACCACTTCCTAATTTATTCTATTAGGTCAGGAGTACCCTCTGATATGAAAGCCAGACAAAAACACTATACAAAAACTATAGACCAATATCCCTATGAACACTGGAGTAAATATCAACAAAATACTACCAAACCAAATTAAGCAGCATATTAAAAGAATTATACACTACCAGCAAGTGGGATTTCTTCCTGGAATGCAAGGATAGTTCAACATATGGAATCAATCAGTGTAACACAAATTAACAGAATAAAGGAAAAAAAAAAACCATGTAAAACACATATCATCTTAACTGATATCGAAAAAGCATCTGACAAAATTCAGCACCCTTTTGTGACAAAAACACTCAAGAAGCTGAGAATGGTGGCTCACGCCTGTAACCCTAACACTTTGGGAGGCCGAGGTAGGCGGATTGCTTGGGCTCAGGAGTTTGAGACCAGGCTGAGCAGTATGCTAAAACCCTGTCTCTACACAATTACCATGTGTGAGGGTTCTCATCTGTAATCCCAGTTACTTGGGAGGATCACTTGAGGTCAGAAGTTTGAGTCCAGACTGGAAGACACAGCAAGACCTTGTTTCTAAAAATAAATAAATATGTATTTTGTAATTAGCCAGGCATAGTTGTGCACAGCTGTAGTCCCAGCTATTTGGGAGACTGAGGCAAGAGGATCATTTGAGCCCAAGAGTTTTAGGCTAAAGTGAGCTGTGATCATACCACTGTAGCCCAGCCTGGGTGACAGAGGGAGATTCTGTCCAAAAAGGAAAAAAAAGAAAAGAAAAGAAAAGAAAAAGAACTACAAAACACTACTGAAAGAAATTAAAGACACAAATAAACAGACATCCCATGTTGTTTATGGATTGGAAGACATAATATTGCTAAGACAACAATACTACCCAAAG